CCTTGAACAGATTACGGAAGCTGAAAGATTAAATATTAGGTGACCTCTTTACAGAAAGTACATGTTGAGTGAAGAATTCTTAAACAAAATACTGCACCAAAAAAAATGCCCTTCATGCAGAACATCTGTACTTGCCACCTGCTTGGACAGAATGGAAGGGACACTTGTAAACAAGCTGTTCAATAAAGAGGCTTTGGTTTGTTTGGTGTGGAGATTTTTTTGGGTTTTTCCTTTTTTTCTTGGTTGGTTTTTTTCCTCTTGTTCGTATTTTTTGTCTGTTTGTTTTTGTTTTTTTTTTTATTTAGAGGGATCTCTGTCAAATACCTCAATTTAAGATATTTAAGTTATTCAGCAAAGAAAAGCTATGTTATTGTAGAAAGCTAAGCCTGGGTGTATTCCTTACACTTATCTCCTGAAGCTACCAATAAAATTTCCACTTAATTAGCAAAACCATCTAGAATCAAAAGTGCAATAAAAACACTTTTCATATACTTACAGCTTGCCAGGAGCTAGCTAATTTGGTTTCACCTTTTTCTTATTTCATTGTTATCATTCCGTTTAGGTAGTCTTCCACATCCACCTGTGTGTGCACGGGAATACCTGGGTTTTACTTTGGAACAGACCAAAATGGCATAGAAATGCAGGCTGAATAGTTTATTAACACTTGTTATGGCCAGTAAGGACGAGAAATTTATTTTCTAACAGGTGCTTGATTTCCAGGTGATGTTGTAAGCTGGAGCACTAGCTCCTGGTCTTAGCTATTCTGAAAAGCTGTACCTCTGCAGAGCTCACCAGATGTCACTGGGTATTACATAGCCCAGGTCAATTCAGCTTGACAGCAAGATCAAGATATTCTCATCTGCACTGGTGTTTTTTTAGGGACAAAAGCTGTACTGATTCATGCTGTGTAGCATTGTGCTGCAGATTGAAGCACAGGGAGTGAGCTTGAAAAAACTTTCTTACTCTTATTCATGACCTCCTTAATTTTATTTCAGTTACACTGTGGCATTTCCAGTAAATTACAGTTTTTCCAGAATTTTGGGGAATCAGTGCTGAAAGGGATTATCTCTGGCATTATTGTGTGTAATTTTTTATTTTAGCAGTAATTTGGCTAAGGGATATAAGGAAGAAAAAAGCAATAATGAATGTATTGTATGTGAGGAAATGATGATGATATATAAAGGAAGTCACTTAAGAAATGGACACGCAGTTGACCTTCAAGGTTGACAAATGTATCCCAAATGCTTTGTTTGAACATATTTCTGGTGCAGAACTCACTGCCTCACCTTCAAAGTTTGAAGGTGATGAACAGGACATAGAGTTGTTTCTACAATTTAGAAAGACAAGAATGTATTTCAATAACATCCTCATACTTAGATCTCATTAATCTTGTTAATGCAAATAGGCCATTTATAAATTTTGTGCTAATATTTATAAAGCATAATGAATGAGCAAGGGCAATAGTAGTCTGGAAGATGCTGAAATAATTGGAAGGATTCTATTCACATACTTCATACATACATGCTGTATTTTACATTCAGTCTGCTGTGATTAAGTCATTTAAGTTTAAGTCAGGTCTAGTGTTTCATCTCTGCAGTTCCTGGCTGGGAAACAAAGGATAAGTTTTGGTGAAATGCAGTAAGAATATTTAAATAAATGGTTTGCAAGCCTGAATCTCTTTCTAAAGTGACATATCCAAACTGCTGCCATGTATCCAGTGGAGAGAAGGGGCATCAGGGAATTTTACTAGAGCTGTACAAATTCATTTATTCTTGCATTTGAATTGACATGCTTCCAAAGCCTTCTTGATAACATCCCCTACTTTCAGCTTGTGTTTATCTTTTAGGAATAAGACTGTTGCATAAATTGTTTGCTGGAGAAACTGAGGACCTCTGTCTGTGTTTATGCATTGTGCACCTAGATGAACTCAAGTCTCAAAACGTTAAAAAATGTTTTTCAATGCTCAGTGTTATTTAGAAATATATAAAAAATTACCTGGGCCTGCCTCCAAAAATGTTGTTGATTATAGCCGTGGAATATTTAGCTTCAAAGAAAGAACAAAAAATGGTTACAATGCAGTTTTAATGAATACTTACTCCCTTTTCTTTCCCAGATAATTTAATTCTCTATCAAGTAAGCATTTAATTGGAAGGTACTATTATTATAAGCACATCATTTGTTATGAAATGAAATAATATTTATAAATACTAATAATATTAAATAGTATTAATATTAAGTTAATGTTATTTAATTTTATATTAGTGATATTATTAATATTTAATATTAATATTATTAAATGTTAATAATATTTATATTAAATAACTCATCTTCCATAGATACTATAGCAATACTGTTCTGATCTTTTGTGAAGCTGTTAGCTGAAAAAATGTAAAAAAAAAAAAAAGCTTATGATATTACATAAAATTGAAAATGCTCAGGAAGTGTTACAAAATTTGGGGGAAAATTAATCCAAAGTTATCTTGGTTTCACAGAGTGTTGGAACTGTGTATCTGAAAGGGAGTTTGAATATGTAACAGTGGAGAGCTTCCTTTACTCAGTCATCTTTATTTTGTATGAGTCTTACATGACTACTGTGCATAAAGGGAAGAAGTCCAGTAAAGGCACAATGTACAAAAAAGCAGCAGAGGTTTGTAGGAGAGAAAGACCAACTGCATTTCATTTCCAGAAGCATTTCCAGGACGAAGGAAGTGAAATCTTCTCATCAGGCTAAGCTTTGGAAGTATGTTTTAGGCAGGTTAAGGAGTTACTGAAAGCTGATAATAATTTGCTATAATAAGCTTAAATAGTCCAATGTAAGAATATTAAAAGAGCAGTTTGGTTGTCAAGTATTGCCACAGACCACTGACTAGTTTTTATTCCATATTTCAACAGAGTTGTATTTATGAATGAAATTATATATTCAAAAAAGGATTAATCCTTATAACCCTGGGGTTTTTTTTCCTTGTGCTTTTTACAAGATATGAAAATATGCCCTATGACATGCAAATAAAAATGTTCTTTTTCATAAAAATCTGGGAACAGAGAATATCTAAAAATAGATTGAAAAATGAAAGATTAGCATTCTCTTCCATACCTTTTCCTCCTTCCCATCTCTTATTTTATTTATTTCAGAGGAACTGATCACAGAATAATATACTCTTCTACTTAGAGATAGATATTGGATAATTAATATCCATTTGAAATGAGAATTTAGGGATGTAATTTAATAGAGATTAATCTTCTGTAGAGTGCTCAACAATCCCAGTTGTTATTTGGATGGAGAATTCACAGTGAGGACCCAAGTGAAAAATGTTCAAGCCCTCTTAGGGGAACAAGTGAATCAGGTCTAGTGATATGTCTGAAATAAAAATGTTTGAAGATGATTTCACTTCTGAGTAATTTACTATTTTATCCAGCTATTCTTCCATATTTGCATGGGATTAAATACAGGTAATTTTAACCAGGGAAGAATTAGCATTAAAAAACATTTGGCAAATTAAAATAAATGTTATTACTGTTTTTAAAAAATTATGAATTAATAAGAATAGAGTTATCTGCAGCTTCAAACTATTTTGTATGCTGGTAGCTGTGACTGGGCTTTTTTGCATATGCACAAACAGTATTACAATATAGCTGTTGCTTTAAAAATATAAATCTCTGTTATATTTTAAAGATGCATGGTTCACAATGGTCATTTGCATTCAAAGCAGTGTTTATTTGGAACGGATTAAGAATTATCTAAAATATATCCCATATAACATTTTACTTCTGTAGAATTATGCCTACTTTTCTAAAAGGGAAGGCAGCTACACTGTTTAAAGCAGGGTTTTTTTGTGAATGGAAATGATACCAAACCTATATTTTCATGTTTCTCCTTTGAACCGAGCTGCACCTTTCCGTGTGGGATGAGGGTCTGTCCAGGGAAGTGCCGTCACTCCCGGCAGAGATCCGCAGAGCGCGGTGTCAGCCGTGCGCAGCTCCAGCGTGCCCTCTGTGCATGGGCCACCAGCTTGGGTCTCCCTCCCCGATCAGTCATTCTTCTCTCTGAAATTGCCCCAGCTTCATGTCTTTGAAATAGCGGCCTCTCTAAATTTGCTTGGCATTTAATGAAATATTTAAAAATTAGTAAGAAGTGAATGACAATGAGACCATTGCGTAAGCCTTGTTTCTTTAGGAAACCAACAAAACTTCCTAAACTACAGATTAAATGTTTTGGTGAGGTAATAATGTAAAATTTATTTCAGATAGGCTTTCAAGAATTATTTAATTGATGGTTTTGTTTGTTGTTTTCATTTGGGTTTTTTAATGAGGAAGTCTTGCACAATTGGTCATATGTTTTATTGTGCATTTCACATACACATCTATCAAGTTTACCTCATAGTATATTTGACAAAAATTTCCTGAAATGAAAATAGATTGAGAAGGTTCCAGAAAAAGCAAATAATTTTGAGTACCGCAGTGTTCAATAAAGAAGAGACTGGGGCAATGGTCTGTTCTCTGACAACCCTTTCAAACTGCTATGTTGCCCTGATGATTTAATTGCCATTTCGGAAAGGAATATTTCTTGCAGTGATAAAACAGTACTGGAAATTTTGATTAGGAAATTCTATGATATTCCCAGAAGTGCAGCTTTGCAGAGATGCTGAGCCAAATGTTACGGTAATTTAAAGTAAGTGCAATCCTTACTAAGTAATTGGAACTGCAGAGAATGTAAATCATTGAGGAATTTGTCCTGTTACTATGTCTCAGCATAGAGCAAGAGCTTATGTGAAGGTGTATATTTCAGTTATTTTAGAACTGCTTCTTCTAACTAATTCCTGTGATTTATTTTATGTATGTTAAGAAATTATATTTTGTAGTATTTAGCATAAAAATGTATACATTCTACGTAATAAGCACCAGATTCCTGATCCTAGATGAAGACACCACTCTTTCTATTGTTTCATATATAAATATGAAACTGAATTAAAAGTACTCCATTTTCTTTTTATCTTTGTAAGTCTCAGACAGTTTGGACCTTGGATGCCGTGACTGTCAGACCTGGAGGTTCCCCACGGCAGAAACTCCTAAAGGACTCCTTAGCAGCAAAAGAGCTTCAGACCATGGAAAAACACCTAGCTGGTATGTATGGGATCAAGGAACCATAAAATGCTTACAAGTACTCACCCAGCTTGCTCTGCCAATATTTCAGACAAAGGAAAAAATTATCTAACTCGCATGCTGATGAAAACACATGAAAACTTTTCTTTTTTTTTTTTTTCCATTGAAGAAAACACCAATTCGTGTTTTATTTGTAGAGGTAATGAACTTCAATGTACTCACAGTAAGTACACTACTTAAAAAGTAATTAAACCATGTTGAATGTACTGTGGTCTGAAAGCATAATAATGCACCTATTTTTTTTGTTTTCATGTTTCACCCAGACTTATGCAATAAGGAGATACTAATGTTTTGCTTACTGTTAAATAGTCTTTAAAAGCAGACTGCAGTTGTTCTTTAACTAGATAATAGATTGCTTTGCAGGAAAAACTTACCTTGTTCGTGAGAATTCTGGTTGAGTGAAATCTGCTAATTTGTGTGCTTTGGAACATCTGCATCATCTTTGATGGGGTAAACATTTCTGAAAAGTCAAACAAAACAAAAAGCGTGGAGTTTTTTGGTAAAAAGATGTTTCAGAGCTTTATAAAAATCTTCAGCTTTCATTAAAAGGTATGACAGACCTATAGTGTGGCAGTCCTATATTATGCATGTTATTTTTCATATGGTGAAAGCTTGATAGGCTAATTCTATGAAAAGTAATGCTTCACTGGAATGTAAAGACTCTATATGTAGAATGAAAGTAGAAATGAAATTTATCTGATCATTCTTGTAAGTTATTTAGAGAGTGAGGCAGGGAACACTTTTGGCATGATTTTTAAAAATACTTTGGATATTTATCTTGCCAATGACAATGGTCTGAAAGCTGTATCCTCTTTTGAAAGGGAGTATTGCAGCTGAGGTCAGGGCAGATGACAAAGCTATGAGCACAGTGAGGGAAGATTTTTAGGAATAGCTTTTGCTCATAATGGATCAAGAATTATAAATTATGATCTATGCAAATGAAGCCTTTTTAGGTGGGTTTTGTGTCTGACAGTAGAGATGCTCTAATTCAATTTTTTTAATACGTTCATAAAGCTTATAGCTGTTAGAGCTGCAGCCACTGCCAAACTAGACTGAAAAATCCATTAGTCTTCTCTCTAAACTGAAACTCCCAGGAATATCTAGTGGGAATCAGGAGAGCATCAAACCAATAATGTGGTTTCTGTCTCATAGCAGGGACCCGTGTACCCCAAAGGCTCTGCTACTGAGGTGTTTTTCCTTATGTTGTCACTCAGGAAGATTCTGGTGAAGATTCCCTACTTTGATTTATGTCCTAACTGGTCTCATTTCCATGGTCATACAAGCTGTTCTTGCATGCATTATGCAAGGAAAAATGCAGTCCCTTAGCAAAGCTGACAGTAATAACTACAATATTCAATAGAATATGGAATTTTAAATACTTAATTGACTGTAAACTAACCAGCTACATTCACCCAATCTCTGATATTCCTTCTGCAGTTGTGTGACCCACAAGATTTTCTCTCTCACATCAGTGCTTTTCCTGCCATTTGACTTTGGGTCTGTTATTTCAGTAAAGCTGTAATATGAGGTTCAGCCATTCTACCACTCAGTAATTTTTGTCTGATGGAGAACTTCACATGAAAACAGCCCAATTATTAGACATTGAACTATTGTATTCCTAATAGTTCATGTCCTATTGTAACACCAGTGGTGCTTGAGACAATTACTCCCCTCAAAGACAAGAATAACGTAATTTCCATGAATAATCAGTTCAGAGTACCTCAGATAATAATGCCTTGGTTTTGCTTAGCCTCATTTGTCTTATACAATTGCAAAAGTTCAAGTGTCTGTGATATCAGCAAGTCTCTTGTTTCAGTTCTCTTAGCAAGTGTAATGGAACCTATTAATTCTATGGAATGGCTGCCTATCCAGGCAGTAATTTAGATGCCTGAGCTATGACTTGGATTACCTGTGTAATGATGAAATATGGCCCCCTGTCTCACATACACCTTCTTAAGAGGCCTGGTCTTCCCTTGTGGACTATATGCTGGATAAAAATCACTCCTAACATAAGGCATAATTTGATGTCTGTGCCTAAACTAGGAGCTAGAACAAATTGCCAGCAGCTGCCTCAGTACCTTGATATTTGAAAGCAGCAGTTTTACAAAATCAGATACTGGAGCAGTTTTCTTTTCCTTCTCTACATTTGACTATTTATTTTTGTCTAAAATCCAGGCTTTTATGTTACTATGGCTGCTTTATATCATATGAGAGATATTCTCACCATTTTTTTGGGTAGTTTATTCCAGTATCTTGCCAGTGTGGTTTGTTGCACTGATTTGGTGGTCTTTATATACTTATGGAAAATATTTTATCACAAGAAGAACTGTTAAAAAATAAAGTTTGTAAGTGCATATGAATCATACCCTTATTCTGGATTTATTTTTTTTAAGCAAAATGTCTTTTTGTTGCTGTGTTGCATTTTATTTTCCTTTATATGACATCAACAAGGATTTTTAAAAAAAATCTTAAGTCATAATTCAATTTAATTATTTAATATGGTGTAATCAGATAATACTGCAAAGCTGGGCATGTGTGATTTATTTTTCCTTCTGGTTGAAAAGCTTATATTAAAGCAAAATCAAACAGAAGATGTGTAAATAAAACTGAATAATTGTGCTATGGAAACGTGTTAATTATGTGTAGAGAAATGATTTTAATAATTGGTTTATCTGCAGGCTTGATTGCTATATGAAATTAAGAAAACATAAGCCAGCATATAATGTTTATTTAACTCTTATTAAATCATTCAATATTCATGCTATTTCTTAGCATACTGAATTCACTACAGGCAAGTTGTACATCTGTAATTTTGCAAAGAAATAGACTAAGCTGGATCTTTACAAGACCATATTCTTGATTTGGCTTAAATGAAGTAGCCCACAGTATCATTTATTGGCCCCTGATTTTTTGCCAGGCGTCTTACACATTCTGCATCAAAGGAGGAGCAGGCAGCAGTTTAAGGGAGCTGCTTCTTCCCCCTCTAAGATCAGCTCAGTTGGTCAGTCTGGTGCTAATAATGCCAAGGTCACAGGTTTGATCCCCATAGGGCCAAACTGAAGAGTTTGCCTTGACGATCCTTGTGGCTCCCTTCAATTCAGAACATTCTGTGTTTCTGTGATTCACCACTTCACACTCATGAGACCCCACCTGAGTGCTGCATTCAGCTCGGGAGCCCCCCGTGTAAGAAGGATGTGGACCTGTTTGAGTGGGTCCAGAGGAGGCCACAGAGATGCTCAGAGGGCTGGAGCATCTCTCACACACTGAGAGATTTGGGATTGTTTGACCTGGAGAAGTGAAGGCTACAGGGAGAGCTAATTGTGGCCTTCCAGTACCTAAAGGGGTCTGCAAGAGAGTTGGGGAGGCACTTTGTACATGGGTATGTAGAGATAGGACAAGGAATAAAGGCTATAAACTAAAAGAGGAGAGATTTAGATGTTGTGAAGAAATTCTTGACTGTAAGGGTGGTGAGGCACTGGAACAGGTTGCCCAGAGAAGCTGTGGATGTCCTGCCCCTAACTCAAGGCTCAAGGCCAGGTGGGATGGGGCTCTGAGCAACATGATTTCAGTGAAGGCATTCCTGCCCATAATCAGGGGGTTTGGAACCAGGTGACCTTTATGGTTTCTTCCAGCCAAAACCATTATCTGAGTCTATGAAGTTCCAAAGTGAAAGCACAGTGGAAGAGTAGTTCAAGATGTAATAATTTCAAAATGGAAATAATTAATTTTAAGGGGTCAATTAGAAATATTCTTAACTGTGTGCTAGAAATATTGGCTATGTTTTGAAATTTGCTAAGAGCAAAATATTTAATCTTTAAAAAGTTGAGACATACTTTTATCTGAGGCTTTCACAACTATTTTAGTTTTACTAGCTTTTCTAGTAATAGCATTTGAATTGTGTGCAATATGTTGTATTAGAGTAGAAACGTGAAATTGGCATAGCTTATTTTCCTATTTTTAAATCTTATAAAACATGTTAGTGTTAAAGGCAGCACATCTTTAATTATTTAACATACAACATTCCTTTTATACCTACTGGTAAACGCAAGTGAAAGAAAATCTTGTTTTCCAGTACGCAGTTTAGAATCTGTTTCTTTTAAGACTTTTAGAACCTGAAATAATTGTTATCAAAATAAAAAAAATAAATGCTAATTTTAGACAAGTTGAGTTAATAGGTGTTTAAATCAGTAGAACCTTGCTAATTTACAGCTTCTGGGACTGTGACTTGTGCATGTTCATGAGAAAGGGCATTGCTATTTTAAAGATAATCAGCTGTTTCTATGAAAATCAAGTATGGTAGAGTACCTGCCAGTGAAAGTGAAAATTCATAACAGTAGTGTAAGATAAAATAAACTTGATTAGACTGTTTTATAAGATCTACATTTGTACTTGCAAGGAATTTCCATATGTTATCAATGCTAACCTAAATTCCAGCTACCCTCACCTGACTTTGATGGGTATATTCTGATTAGAATTCATTAGAAGCATTAATATGATTTAAATTATTTCAGGAGACATTTTTTATTCACTGTCCTTAATCTGTGTGTTTTTAAAGCAGATCTTATTTCTTATGGCTGTGTGTGAGGTAGGGCTGTCACCTTTTCTCCTTGGACTCTGGATATTGGTGACCCCATCACCTGCACTGATGGCAGGCCAGAGCACGAAATTCAAGTTCAAAGAGGATCACAAATCCAAACGTGCCAGAGTTCAATAGTTACTTCCCTCAGAGTTTTGGTTGGCAGTAGACAGCAGGGCCAGAAGCAAAAGTTTTGCCTTGAGCCAGTATTGGATTGCTCTTCAGTGCAGTTGAGGATGACAAGTTTACATCACTGCTCCATCTTGGTTTGGTACTAATTTTGATTTTGCAGTAACTGTTCAAAAGCCACAGAGACATAATTTTGATGAAACAAGAGGTATTTTTATAGGTTGTGTTGGCATTCAATGAAGAGGTAATATTTCATTTCTGCAGGATAGCTGGGCTTGCAGTGAATCAAAAGTAAACAAACTTTAAGGAAATGCTTGTCAAACATTTGCACTGTTAATTAGCCTGCATTTTATTTTAAGCATGAACAGATTTTCTCTGCACAGCTTCAGGTTTTCACTTACATTGGAGAAAATCGTTGAGAGTTTTAAACCAGAGAGAAACAGATAGTGAGTTTCTTTCTTTTCCATTTGTTCATGTGTGTGTGCACAGACATTGAGAAGGACCTCGCACTGTGGGAAGAAGCAAGGCTCTCAAGAAGCCCTGGTGTCCAGCATCCTAGTGTAGTTACATCTGACCATCAAGGCACTCTTCAAGCTGCACAGGGCCAAACCCCAAGGCCTCAGGTGCCAACTCCGACAGGGAAGAACATTCAGCTCCAAGGAAACAAATCGCCACCGCTGCCCCCTAACAGCAGAACACAGGTCTCCAGTGTCACAAGCAGCAGTGCACAAACCAACCGGCCATCAACTCCAGGAAGCAGACCTATGACCCCAAATAGCTTGTTGTCACGGCCTCTTACCCCTAGCAACCAAGGAAATAGGGAAAGTATTATTAGCATTCAAAGAAGCAGATCTTTGTCATCTAAGAGCCAAATGGGGAGGACCCTCAGTGCTGCTTCAGGGCTTTCTGTGCAAGTGAGTGGAGATGTTGTTGGAACTGTCACTACTCAGAGAAACAGTTTATCAGAAGTAAGATTTTCCATTTAATGTTTTTGCTATGTTTAATAATGTGAAGGCTTGATTGCATTTTATGTTCAAGTAACGTCAGTATACCTAATGTAACCTACTGTGCTGAAAAGAACTTGAAATATAATGATGAGAAAATTAGCAAGGAAATACTGCTCAGCTTTGAGAGGTACTCATTAGAGAATGTTGGTATTATTACAGAAATCATACTGAAACACTTGAGTCCCCCAAATTTACCATGAGTTCAGTAGGGCTTTGCCTGTACGATGCATAGCAGTTTTATTTGCATTGCAGTTTCTAACAGGTGCATACCTCTGGAATATTAAACAAAACTTTATCTAATCTTTATGTTCCATGGTATTTTTTCTTTCTGCCAAACTGGCAGTGCATGACATTTTTTTTATCTACTTTTTATTTCACAGTTTAGGGCAACTAGAGTGATTAGATAGGCATCACTGAAAGAGCAAGTTTTTCCAAAGCACCGAACTAAATTGCAAGAGAAAATGTTCAACATTTTTGAATCACTGTCTAATACTATATACATGGTAATTAGGCTATTTACAGCATAAAAATTTCCTGTCACATATTATTGGCTTTTACAGGACTAGTCTTTGTTTAAAACAAAACAGAACAGAAAGTTAAAGTACCTTGTAAATTCTGAGTAGGATTCTCCTCTGCTAACCTTAGCTGCCTTAAAGATAACTTCAGTGTGTGGGCAGTGGAAATAAAAGCACCTGTGAAAGAAAACCCGTGCTGTCTATCTCTATACATGCCTTACAAAGGTGAGTCTTTTCTCAGGATATGCCAGTCCTTCTGTACTGACTTGAGAAGGAACTATATGTCTAGACTGCTAATTTTTTTAGTGGTCGAATATGTTGGTTCCCACCATTATTGCCAATCTCTTTGTAATCCATTTGTGAGAGGCTGGAGACCTTTTTTCCAAGACTGAAAATAATACCGTACTTTTAGATTGTTTCTGAGGAGTATCATCTGTTTTAATAGTCTGTTGGGTATGACACTTGATAAAATATGTTATCAGTCTCATGACTTCTAAAGAAAATTTAAAATGTAGTTTATGATAGTGTTGTTTAGGGTTGCTTGTAGGAAAATTGGTGATTAAATACCTAGTATAACCTTGGAATTAATTATATATCGTCCATTATTGGTTGTGAAGGAAAGGAAATGAGGCACAGATTACTCTAGAATTTAGGGAAGAAATCTTACTTAAATTTGGCAGTGAAAAAAATACTCATTATTTTGGTGTTTGAATGGCAGTGCACTAATCCCATCACTATAGCTGTTTCTTCACTTAGAATTGAATATCCAGATTAAAGACATGAGGACTGAAGGTGTCTACAGTTCACCTGAAAGTGTCTTCACTGCCAGTTAATATATTTTCAAATCATATTTTCCATGGGAAAAAAAAGTCATTTTAACACTTCTCTTTTTTTTTTTGACGAAAAAAGTCACCTTGTGTCCTCTTTTGAAGTATGGGATGTGTTTGTGTGTTAGAATTTTCTCACATACCAGAAAAGGAGAATTGAAATTAATTTTTAAGTAAAAAATGCTCAGAAGAAATGAAGGGTTTTGTTGTCTTCAAGTAAATTCTTCACCCCTCTTTTTCTTCTTTTTAGGCAGTCTTGTTCTTAATTGATACATAGTCATGTGTTGCCAAGTAAAATTATTGTATATACTCCTGAAAGTATGTGTATGTAATGAGTGAGAGATATCCAGTCTGCCCATCACTGTATCTTTCTTGTAAAAAGGCAGACAATTAAAAATACTTTCTTCCACAGCCTTTCTGTAGTTATAGTAATAATAAGGAAGAGTCCCATTTAATTTGCTGTGTCTTGTTACTTCTGTTTGCTGAGAGCTCTCACAGTAACAGTCCTGTTATACTTTTAATATATGTATATATTTGTCTCAAGAATTTTAGGAAGTGAGCAATATTATTATGCTATTTTCTTGTTAGAGTAGCATGTCCAGATTCAGCCAGCAATCCACTGTAAAAAGCTGATGTTGAACCTCAGCATTTCTATGCAGGATCTTATCCTCTGTTAAAATCCCTTCTAGAAGTGACGAATTCTTTTCTTTCTCTTTGCTCACTGAGTACAATAGTACCTTGGCTGCTAGTGACCCAGCTCAGACCCTATTTACCCTTTCTGACATGCACAAGTGACCTTTGACATAATGCAAACTCAACTTCAGACTATCTCTGCTTCCAAAGGGAAAGCTGCTGGTATGACACATTCATAATGAAGACCTTCCTCTGCCAGGTTGTGAAGGCCCGTGGATATCAGAAAGTAGCTGATGGAGATCTGGCCAATCTGCCACTCCCAGTCTCATTTTTGGAGTGTTATACTGGAAGTTTTGGGAGCCCTTTCAAGCTGTCTTTTGTGCACTTAAGTTCCTGGTCACTTAGAGAAGTGGATTTAGACAGAACATACCCAGAAAATACATCTGTTCTGTGACATTTTTTGCCATTTTAGACATTTATTCCTATTTGTGACCATATGATTTCATTTTATTGTGTCACAGTTTGGTTTCTGGACCGTGGAGATGTATTTTAAAAAGGCAGAGGTGGTTTGGGGTAGGAGAACAAGAGTCCTGTCCGTCTTTGTCCTTTTACAGATCACAAACATATAAAGCTCAAGGCTGATACTGTAATTTATTTTGCGACTTTCATTGTAGGTTTTGTATCCTCTTCCTGTATAAAACTGTTAAAATAAAAGAAGGGAAGTTGCCTTTATTCTTATTAGCCTTATGGTCTCAACTGGAAATTTCTACTAGATGTAAATACACTGTGGTTATATTGCAAATCCTATAGAAGATACTATGATAAGATTTTGAAAATAACTGCTTCCTTACTCTTAGGTGATGTTAATGGAATTAATCAGTACAGTGTTGATATATATTTGGTAAGAAAAAGTCAGTTGAAAAGAATGTGACTACTGGGTGCCAGGAGCATGTTTTACCTTAGGGAGCTTTATTTATTTATTTATTTACTTATTGACTTGTTTATTTGTTGGGAATTTTAACATGTCTCTCAATGCCTTATGTATGCTACCTAGATTGTAATGTGTTTCAGAGTAACATAAGTCTAAATAGAAAAATATTACTAATAAATAAAATTCAAAGTTCTTAAGCTTTAGTAAAGTTCATGCTGCAGCATGGGTGGTTTAATCTTGTTATAGCACAAATCTTAAATAATTTAGCCAGTTCTTAACATATCAGCTGTTAAGAATGTTTTGGGGTTTTTTAATGTTCAAGACTTATAATAATCTGAGATTTTGTGGACAAGTTTCTGCCTCCTGGCACACATAATATTACTAAGTTCTAACAGGTGTGTTTTATTATCAGCTCTGTTCAAGGCTGAATTGAATTATAGCAAAGAAATGCTACCTAGAGAAATAGTTTTATTATCTCTATAAAGGTAATAAATCAGGGTTCCAAATTCTTTGGCAGAGATACTTTTATGCATGTTCTAATCCTTTGGTGCTTTGTATAAATTGGCAAAGGAATGTTGAACCCTGCTTATCTCTTTAGGATGGATTCCATTAAAGTGACACAATTCTGTGATACTTGTCAATAGCTGTTGAGATGGAAAATACTGCTGATTCCCTTGTTTACCATATCATTTTCTGAACACATGAAATTTTACAATAATTTCATTTATTCAGATAAATTGGTATTCAGCAATCCTAATTAGTCTGTCATTGTTAAGAGTAGGAAACTATTTGAATATAGCCTTGATTAACAAAATTTGTACTCTTATTTCCTGGAGTATAGAGCATAACTTGTGATGGGGACTCTCTTTTTGGTCAGATACTCTCATTCTGTTCCACTGCCTGGCTCATATCTTTGCTCTGTGTTTTTGGAAGATTAAAAAGTGTGGGGATCAGTGTGAATCACTCATCCCTACTTCAAGAATCCTGTTCTGTGAACCAAAGCAGGTTCAGTGTTGTAGTCAGTAACCTTCTCAAGCACAGCACATTGGAAATGACAACACATGAGTGAGGCCTGGAGCTCCTGCCCGAGTTTATTGCTGGGCCATGGCAGCAAACTTTATGGAACTTTTTAACACATTACTGACAGAATTAATAATTTACTCCCAGCAAGTTAGATCTTAATTGAGCAGCCTTCAGTCTCCCAAAACTGATTTAAACAAGCCTGGATTTTGTATTTAAATCAGATAGCCTAAGAATAAAATTTATGTCGTAATGCAATTTAACTTTGTCAATTCTCGTTTCAGCTGATGTAACACAAACCAGGGTTATTACCCCCCCCCCTTTTTTTTTTTCCAAGAACTTATAAAAATCTGGCCAGTAATTTTATGATATCTGGCCAATGTTGAAGTTTTCTTTTAGAGACTAAACTTGCATGTTTGAACTGCTTTTGAAAAGAAAACTGTGCATTCCAGTCTCATCTCTCCCCATGAATATTGCAAAGGAATGTGTCGAAGTATTTTATATGTCTGTGTATATACCTGTTCACATAGATATGTGTGTGTCTGCATGGAAAAATATTTTTATACACATGCATATATACATTATATAAAAAATTAGGTAATTTTAAAACATTTTCAAAAGCATATATTCACCTGCATATGGATTTTTAACCATGTAAAACACTTATATTTGAATGTTTTGATAGTATCTTGGAGACAAAAGTCTCCATATTTTTCCTTCCTAAGCCTTCTCCTTATGCAACAAAACTATGGGTTCTAAATCAGGTTTCAGGTTCTTGTTCTTGTTAGACTAGAAACAGTGAAAATTTTGACAAATCAAAGCCTCACTTAAATAAATTGCACCTGAAATGTCTATACAGTCCAAAAACTACAGGGTCAGATTTAATATCTGCAGTTTTGTCCTGTCACTGCATTCCTAGGATGATTATGTATGTGTCTTACATATCTGTTTTTATTGTAAAGAGATAGCTAAATAGACCCCTTAATTTTAGAGGGTTTGGGTTTGATTTTTTTGGCTTTGTTTTGTTTGTTTGTTTGTTTTGTTTGTAGTTTTTTGTTGGTTTTTTGTTTTACTGAATAGATAACAAAAATTTCAAAGAAGCCTGCACATCTTCTACATTGTGGTTTTATTTCACAGCAAGATTTTTTTGTTTGTTTTTGAAGGCTTTTTCCTCTCTAGTTAATTGGGGCTAGTGTTTGCTGCAGTCTTCATTTATACAGAACGATTGTCTGTCATTTTATCTAAAATAGATCTGTTTGTGGCAGGATGAATTCTTACAACAGCTTCAACTTGCTCATCAACCTTGGATATTGCCAAGTGACACAGAAAGTGAAGGAGTAGAAGCTGACCAAGACAAATGTAAGTATATGTGTAAGGACCAGATAGTATGTCAAATATTATCAGATAATATGTCAAAACCCCTCAACTTTACTTCTGTTTTCCATATCTTCAAATACTGTGGAGATGTCATGCCTGCTCACAGGAGCTTTTCCCACAAGTGCCAATTACTTCTTTGTCTTAGGGCTGAACCTTATAGGATTGATTTGCAGAAGCTTTCCTGTAGTCACTGAACAATAACAGAATGATCACAGAACATTGTTTATTTAAGCTAAGTGAAACAATTTGTCCTGATATGTTAAAGTAGCTGTTCCAGAAAATAACATGAACTTGAAATAGATAATCTGTTTAATAAATCTGTATTTACCAGCAAAAAAAAACCCCAAACTCCAAACTTAAAAAAACTCCAGGTCTGAAAAATAGAGCTTTCGTCCTTAGGTCTGTAACTCCATTATCTGTATTTTGCTTACATTCTTTTTAATTCATCTGTAATAATAAAAAAGTTCTTAATCATACAAGTAATCCTTAATATCCTGAATTTTTTGAAGTATTTGTCTAATTGTGGAAGTGAAGATCAGCAAGGTCAGAGTCCAAATGGCAGAACAAGTAACAGGCTAAAAATTGCAATATTTTCAAATTGTAGCAAACTTACCCTGCCTACAAGGTACCTGTAAATGATCTTACTGTTTCACATTTTCTCTTTTAATTGTGTTCTGCAAGGGTGAATATGCAAGCTGCTTCTTAACATATTTTAGGTGATGTAGTTGTAAAGATTAATCAGCATGTTTAGAAAACTCAATACTGGTTTAAACATCAAGAGTCAACATATAAAAAAGATGTTTTCTGTACAGAAGGGAACAGTTCTGTAAGGGATAGAGGATTCTTAAGAAATGTGCCAGATAAACAGAATTATTTTTAAATAGTGCCACTTGAAAAAAATCTTTTTTAGTGATACATCAGTTTCACAAATTCATACATAGCCTAGAGTTTGACTGAAATTTAAATTTACACATTGAGATTCTGAAGAATATGTGCCAAGTCTTTTTGAATACTAAAAAAATGTTACAGTGAGATTCTGTGCATCCAGCTGATCGTAGTCCAAGGCCAGTAGGTCAAATTTGACTTGTACCAGAGCATTTCAGTTATCTGTGAGCTAAAGCTCACTTTAGGTGACTCAAGGGAGACTCTGGGACCTGCCTTTTATGTGTATACAATTTTTCTTCAGTCTTTTCTGTAATGAATTTACAGTCCCACAAACATTGGTAGGACTGGCTGTGCACACACAGACTGATGCGAATTATGTGACCAAGGAGACTGATGCTCCAGGACATATCAGATACACAACATGGTTTTTTATAGCTTCTGTACTTGAATTGTGTGGGTCTGAGGACTTCTGAGCACCCAAAATCCTGTGCTATAATATTCCAAGAATCCTGGTAGGTCATTGTCACTGCCCAAAAAACAAAGTGGTAAGTTAAAAAATAAAAGCATGTTGTTAAGGTTAGTGTCCAAATGCCTCCTGAACAGTGACAGACTTGAGGTATCGACCATCTCCCTCAGAAGCCTGTTCAGTCTTTCACCCTCTGAGTAAAGGAATGCTTCCTGATGCCTAGTCTGAATCTCCCCTGGCACAGCTTTGAGCCATGTGTTCTGTCACTGAATACCAGAGAGTGGAGATCAGTGCCTCTCTCTCCACATGCCCTCCTCAGGAAATTGTGGAGAGTGAAGTCAATCCTCAACTTCATTTTCTTCAAACTAGAGAAGCCCAAAGTCCTTAGCTGCTCCTCATAGGGCATTTCTTCCAGCCCTCTCACCAGCTTTGTTGCACTTATCTGGACCCATTCAAGGAGCTTCACATCCTTAAATTGTGGTGTCCAGAACTGTACACAGTGCTCTAGGTGAGGCTGCACCAGTGCTGAACACACTGGAATAATCACCTTTCTTGAGCAGCTGGTGATTCTGTATTTGATGCACCCCAGGATGGGGTTTGCCCTCTTGGCTTCCAGGACACGCTGCTGATTCTTACTGTGCCTGCTGCCAGCCAGCACCCCCAGAGCCCTTTCTGCAGAGAGGCTCTCCAGCCACTCCTTTCCCAGTTTATACTTACACTAATCTGTGCCTGATTGGTCCATCCCAGCTGCAGAATCTGGTATTTTGACTTGTTAAACTTCATGCCATTGATCGCTGTCCAGTGCTCCAGTCTGTGTAGATCCCTCTGCAAGGCCTCTTGTCCCCCCAAAGAGTCATCAGCACCTCCCAGTTTGGGGTCATCAGCAAATGTGCTAATGATGGATTCGACTCCTGCCTTCAGGTTGTTGGTAAATGTATTGAACAGAACTGGCCCTAGAATTGACCCCCAGGGAACAGCACTGGTGACCAGTTGCCCCCTTTAAGCATTGCCATTCAGCCAGTTCTTCACCCAGCACAGCCTGCAGCCACTCATCCCACAGCTGGACAAGTTGTCCTGAAGGATGCTGTGAGGGACAGTATCAAAAGCATTACTCAGATGCAGGAAAAGCACATCCACTGACTTCCCTTCATCCACTGGGTGGGTGACCTTACCATAGAAAGCTATGGAATCAGTTAAACAGGACTTTCCCTTTGTGAACTCATGGTGACTGCAGTTCAGTTAGCTGGTGCACCCTCTATAATAGGAAACTGTTTCTACTACTATAACTAAAGGGATGGAACAAAAAGGCTTTATCAAAGTAATACTCCCTGTAACTGAAATATAATAGTGAAAAATTTTATTAGAAATAACTAATGATGGTAGCATCCCTGCCTTGAGTTTTTGTGCTAGTGACGTTGTCAAGAAGATGCAGAACTGCCACTGCTGACAAAGAGAAGCTGCCTATTCCTGATTGTAAAGCGGAGTCAGGAAGGGCTTTGGCACACTTGCTGATGACACTGCTTGTAGGTGGAGCGGCTGGCAAGATTGCACATCATTTTTCACCCCAAAGTAATAAATCTGTATGGATATTTTTTGTGTGATTTAGTGTTGAGAAGGCCCAGGAGTTCATAATTTGTGAGTTTGAGCAGAACTGCAGAATTAATCTTTACAATAGCAACAGCTGTTCTTTGACTCAGCTTTTAATAAATTACATGTGGATAATATTTACCACATTTTTGACTACTTTGAGATAATAGCAGCCAGGTGTAAAGCTAGTTTTTGGTAGTGGGAAAACAAAAAGTGCAAAAAGAGAAACTGTGTGAGTCACCTTGAGTTCTTTAAAAGTAATACCTTCTGGTTAGAGTTTTACAAGAAGAAGAATGAAAAAATAAAGGGGAAACAGTTTCAAATGTATTCAGATGTAAGAGTTTAGAGAGGCTGTTTTCAAAACAAGTGATAACTGAACAGAACTGGGTTACTTTGGAATCTCAACATCTCTTGACAAACGTAATTTGCAAAACTCATACAACAACGCATATCTTGTCCTATGGAAATGAGATCTTGGTTCTCAGTTTCTGTAAATCAGACTTTCCATTTTAAATTCTCCAGGCTCTCTGACAGCATTTTGAAAATTTATCCTTAGCAGCAAGTTTCAATGATAAGTGGCAGTCAATAATTTTTAAACCTTCATACTAATTATGACAACATTTTAAATCAAGTAGCTACTCATATAAAAGAATTTAAATTATTCTAGCTTAAAAGATTTGTTTTGTTAAAGAAGAAAAGTATTTTAAGAACCCTTTGTTAAATTTTTAGGCTACACTTTCATTTCCTTTTGTGCACTTAATTAAGTTTGTGGCAATAGGTCAGAGAAAGAGATAATGTATAATTATTTGCTCTTGTAATGTACATTTTGTTATTAAAAACAGGAATTAACACATGCATTTTAAGAGCTATTATAATTTAGAAACTAAATCTCTTCTGCTTGCAAAATGTATTCTCCTTTGAAACACTCTACACAATGAGAGATGAAAGTTGTCAAGGTACTATGATCCCAAATCAAGGACCTGTGGTGTTCTTTTAGAACATTTAGACATTTAAAAATGTTTCTAGACAGAGCCTCGTGTGTTCTTCCTCTGTCATTCTGGAGACATTATTATCCCCATTATCTGCAGTAGTTATTATCCCCGTTATCTGCATATGTGCTGATTATCTGCAAAGAGTTTTCAGAGAATGCATAGAGATCATTCTTGGAAAAAGGAGGGATCTGGCGAAAATATTTACCACTTGCATTATCCTTCAGTTTGATAAAAGTTCTTTGAACTGGCAAGAATAGATTTTCTTTATGGTGTATTGATGCACAGAAACAGAAGAACCGCATCTACTGCCACCAGAACATTTCTAGCCAGTTTTTACGAGAAAAAAAATCATCCTTTCAGGGAACTGACAACAGTCTGCTTGAATTTTCTCTTGAGAACAGGTCCTACAAAGACTGAAGATTGGAAATTTCTTAAGTATCACTAGCTTCCAAGAACCTTGAAAAGACAAAGACAGGTTTTTGGTGTAATTTGACCTAACATCTGTAGTCTTGGCAAGGATTTGCTGCCCAAAAGCCTGTCTGCTTTCATGGGTGCTAAACTCAAGAAGTAACCCACACAGCAAGTTTCCCCAGGTCACACAGCCTTGGATGTAAAGGATCTACCTCCAGTCAGTCCACCTAGCAGATGTACATGATAGATGAATGAAGTAGGCTCTTGAAAACTTGCTACTTGGTTAATCTATATTAAATATACCCACAGAACATTAAGGACTGGGAGGCACCTTAAGGATCATCTGTGTAAAAACATTCATTTGTGCTAATCTGCTTAAGGAATGCCAGTTTCTGTAGTCAATGGCACACAAAGTTGTGTGTCTATTATCACTTCATTCTAACTTGCCAAAAGGAGTACTAGATGCTCATTTCTAGCTCAGTTGATCTTGGGCAAGTCTTGAACTCTTGCCCTCTGACCTGTGGGAGGAAATTTAAATGTTTTGCCACTCTTAATTTGCAAACTCTTTGCTAAGGTTGACAGTGAAAGACCTACTGCTGATAAATCAAATGGTTGTTGGGAAGAAGTGGGATTTCTGCTCCATTCATTCTTGCACTGGTCTTGAAACTCTGCAGTCAAAGACACTGTGCTGATGACTTCAACAGGTGTTGAAGAAAACCTTCATTTTCCCATTTGCACACGTCTGCCTAGAAAAAACCCAAAAGAATGAAAGATGGGGTTTTTTTGTAGACTTGAGAAATTCAGACTCTGTTCTAGTAAAATTCCAATCCATACAGTATTTGTCTATGGGTAAAGTTCCTTACACTGAGTAAATTCACATGCCAAAACAGTCAATTTATCCTAATTATCCAAATAAGTATTCTTAAGACTTGGAAAATTGTTTGGCCAGAGTTAACAATATGGAGGAGTCTACTGCTGGAATATGTTTTTGCTGTGAAAGTTTGCTTTTGCTAGAGCCAGGTGCTACTCAGTATGAGTGAGAATGACAGAATTGGGGTTAGAGCAGCAACTGTTGATTGCAAACTTTATGACATTTACACAAACACATTCCACTTCTGTCATGCAAATTCAGCTGTTTGTGCTCGGCTCTGATGGAGCATAGCTGTATTGGAAATGTCTCTTTCAGTGGGTATGAGTTTATTGCAAGGCTAGATGTGGTTTCTTTAGAGAGTAAGGTGTTTATGAGGCATCACTCAAATATTAGTCAATTATATGTCT